ATATATATATATATATATATATTTAATTAATTTATTTATCATTCGATTGCTCGTCTTATTTTCTTGAACTGTATATTGTATAATTTATTTAAAATGGTATATTGTATTATTTCATTTAAAAATTGGTTCCGTATTATTCAGAATGCTGTAGTGCAGTTATTCATTGCCACTAAACATTTCCTGAAAGGTGCTGGTCAAAGAATTTTTTAAGAGTCGATAAGCTGTGTATATTGTAGATGTTTAACGGTATTTCAAACTTAAAATTCTCTTTTAACCACTCGGCACTTTGTTTTTGATAGAGGAGAGGAGGGGAGCATAGGTTTTTTGTTTAGCTTTTAAAAATAAGAAGGACACAAGTTTTCCCTTCAATATGTTATCACTTGTCTCTAATATTTCATTCTCAATTTTTATCATAAATCATATGTGAAGCGAGAACTTACTTTGTATTCTTATGAATCGTCAAATACTCCACTATTTCAATCGTATTTCTTCCATTTACTGTGCCGTAATCTCATTTGGAAGATATCTTTTTACTACTAGTATTGTGTGCCTCTTGTCATATTTCGATGTTATGCATATCGATGTCTAATTATAATTTTCAGATTGCAACTTCTCGTCTCGTTTATTTGAAATGGAACAAAAATCATACGTCAGTATTTTCTTTAATATTTTTTTTCAATAATGATATAAGCATTATTGGACGGCTTATCTCTTGCAATAAATAGGAATACGTGGTCTTTTCAGTTGAAAAGTGTTTATGAGCTTATATTTAGTGTCTGCTGAAAAAAGCTTATGCACAGGCTGATAAGCAGTATAGCGATTTCCGATAAGTAGATGTGTACACATCAAGTTTCGTTTACTTCGAACGTAGTTAAATAAATTCATACAAGATCAGTTATGCCTAGTCATCAGATACTATGAGTTTGTACTTACTATCCAAATTGTGTTATTTGCAGCCCATTCCATATCGCAGTCAATTGCAAGAGAAAATTGAACCTGGACAAACGTTAATTATTAAAGGATCAACGATCGATGAAAGTCAACGGTATGTGTTGGATCTATTTATTTTGTGAATTGAATTGAAGTTTTTGCGAGGAAAATTGCAGCATTACTTGCAGTTTCTACTGCATTAGTTATTGACGACGTTTATGCGCTTGAGAAATATAGATTGCTTAAAACTATATGAAATTTTATGTCAATTGTATTTGTTTAGGTTTACTGTGAATTTGCACTGTAAATCGGCAGATTTCAGTGGAAATGATGTGCCATTTCACCTTTCAGTTCGATTTGACGAAGGCAAAGTTGGTCCTTGTTTAATATTATTTCTAGCATTGCATATTTGAGGGTAATAGTTATTTGATGAGACGGCACCGGTTGTAATTAAGGCTGAACACAAATGGTGATTTAGAATGTAGTTGTGTGATTTAGCATCATTAATATTTTACTGATTTCGAAATTTTAGACATTTATCAGTTTGAAGTGCAGTTTAGAAACTGCTGATGATCCAATCCAATAAACAATGTTTTCGAAAGTCAGGTCTACTAAAATTTTTTAGTAGATTTAAATTTGTTTCGAAACCAAATTTTTTAACTTTAATATTCATTGCGAAGTACTAAACTTGTATGAGTAATTTATTCATTCGTTTAATCATCGAGTAAGTTTTGTCAGGCATCAGCAGGGGTTGAATCTTTTTCATTGCAATAGTCTCAGCATTAATAGCTATTTCTATTTATTGTAGATTGTGATGAATAGTTTTATGAATGGAGAGTGGGGTAAAGAGGAACGGAAGAGCATTCCATTCAAAAAAGGTACACCTTTTGATATTCGGATCCGGGCACATGATGATCGTTTTCAGGTTTGAGTTTTTTTAAGTGTTATGCATTTTTAAGAATTTTAAATCACTTATGAAATCAGAAGGGATTTATCACCGATTTTAAAGAACAATATTTAAAAATAAGGGATAATGTTTCGAAAAATAAGACGTAGCAGCTCATAATCGATTGTTCATTGATGAATTTTTTGAAAAAAAGTGTTTGAATCATAACTGTCAAAGTTTATTTAACTTCAAGTTCTGGTTTTTGCTTGTAATCTATAATATTTCGGAATTGTAATTATTGATATATTAGAAAAAGCAGCTGTAGGTTTTCTGTGATCAGAAGGAATTCAAAGATTTTGAACATCGTTTGCCGTTGTCCTCTGTAACTCACTTATCGGTCGATGGTGATTTATATCTCAACCAGGTACATTGGGGTGGAAAGTATTATGTAAGTGCTCTCTCCAGAATTAAATATTGTTTTATTTTTTTGACACTCAAATTTTTCTCATTTTATAGTTAGCTATCGATGTATTTTTGAAACTTTTTTATTAAAATTACTGCTTCTAGCCGGTACCTTATGAAAGTGGTATTTCTCAAGGCTTGGGTGTGAGTAAAACTTTAGTGGTATTTTTGTGTCCAGAAAAGAAAGGCAAGCGTTTCAATATCAATTTACTAAAGAGGAATGGAGATATTGCTCTACATTTCAACCCGCGTTTTGATGAAAAGGTTTTCTTGATGTTTTTTAACTTCTATAGATACCAGTTGGATTCCAAATTTGGTGCTTTGGAAAATTTTTGTTTTTTAAAAGATGTATTTTTTTTACGCATTCATTGAGTGTTTTACTGGAAAAACATTGTTTTCATAGAATATGTTCTTTTTATGTTTAAAAATCACTTTTGGAATATTTGTATCAAGTTTATCTGGCAGATGAAGTTCTACTGCTGAGTTCTTAGACACTTTACCAAGCGGTTATTTGATAAATGTGGTGTATTTATTTTAGTTGTATTGCATTGTTTGGAATATTTCAGGCAGTTATTCGTAACGCTCTTCAGAGTGGTGAATGGGGTAACGAAGAAAAAGAAGGCAAAATGCCTTTTGAGAAAGGTGTCGGCGCTGATTTGAGAATTATCAACGAGGAATATGGATTTCAGGTTTTTCCTTGAATTTCAAGATCAATAAGCACTTTACAATGATTTTACGTTATTGTTAAATGGGTTCTTGACTTAATTTTATTGTTATATGGGATGTTACTTTCATTTAATAATAATAATAATAATATTAATAATAATAATAATGATAACAATAGTAATAAGTGTTCAGTCAACAGTTGGAAAGAACACAGTCTAGTTAACAAAGGTATATTTAGATTTGAAGTTCCGTGAGAAGCTAAACTTGTTTGAAGTATGAGCTAATTATATTATTGTTGAGTCGGAAATTAAACACATTTCCGTATTATACGCCTTTCTTTTCATAGTTCTGTTGGATCATTTGCAGATTTATGTAAATGATATGCGATTTTGCACATTTGCACATCGTTCTGATCCTCATGACATCACGGGTTTGCAAATTCATGGTGATGTGGAACTTACGGGCATACAAATTCACTGAAAAAGAGCACATGTTGTGGGTATGCTGTCTCCAGATATCTTCGAATTTCAGTTTCTAGTTTTTATTTTTGCTTTAGTAATGCTTCAATATAAAATGTTCTTTTTATCGTGATTTCATCGTTAAATGTTGTGGTACGTAAAAAGTCGCCTTTAATATGTCGGGTTCATTTCTGTACTCAGAACAAACTATTATTTTACTTTGAGGTATCAAAATATGGTAATTACCATCGTTGATTTTCCGTTATCACTTTTGGCTTTCTCTGTTTACTTATTATTTAATTTAGTTGGGAAGGTTCGCTTGCTTGTAATTGAAAACTACTAGTGGTCCTGAATTTGCCGGAAAATCCAGATGCAAATGTTTTATGTGATCTTTTATAGTTGTTTGCATCATATTAACGCGACTTTAATCTTAATCCCATGTTTATGCATCATTTTCATTTGTTCTTTCTTGTTTTTCATGGCAATGATTATTAAGATCACGATGTATTGGATATTAAACGATGCTTGAGTTTCTTGAAATGTTGACTGCCGGTCGAAATTTCCGAATTTCCCATAGAATTTATGATATTAATCAATCGACATTTATGCGAATAGCTTTATTATAACTTTCTGTACATTAGGTTTTGCATTTAGTATACTGCTTTGTGTATCTGCTTTTTGACTAAAAAGTGCGTACAGAAAATAAATTCATGCTTCTTCTATGTTTCTGCTATTTACTTTTTTTGGAAAGGTAAGATATTCACTAAATAAATTAAAGATTTCGAATAAGCTGCATCATTGTTAGCGGCGTTGTTGACAAGTATATTCTACTATCATTTAGCGTGGACAGTATATATTTTTAGCAGCTTTACAAATTAAAAACGGATAAATAATGCACCGCAAATAAAAGTAAAAAGTCGTGGAAAATGATTGTAGCTCAGCTCGTTATAAAGTTACTGCCTGCACGGAATCTCGGATTAAAAGTCAACGGACTGCACGTAAAATAATAGAACTTTAACTTGGAATGATGTGAAATGGCTGTTTTCCCATGCGAATCGATTGCTGAAGTCTGGACTGATTGGGAGTGGGATGATGGATTAATACATTGGTGGATTAGTATATTGGTAGGGAGATCGTGATGTGGTACTCAATCGTGATGTGGTACTGCTTTGTAGATGTTTCATTTGTGTTTCAGGTTTTTCGCTTCTCGTTCGAATGTAGATGTGGTACTCAATAAATATTTGTGTATTTATAATATGTTTGTCTCAAATCGCTGTGGTTTCCGTGTTTATTTATGGCTATTTCTTTCATGAAATTCAGTCATTTACTCATGGAGAAGATTATATTTCCAATAGTACTTTCAAAGGTATGGCTCAAGTTTCATTTTCCTCTGCAAATACATAATTTCTTAAGTAGTGTGTGAGACAGATCTAGTAATAAATTATTGTTTTTACTTTATTGCTCAGATAATTCTCCATTTACATTTGTATCACTGATATAAATTTATAAATTTCGAGTATATTACAGCAGAAGTACATACATATCATGTGTATCATCAATTCTGTGTTAGCGATGTATTTGGAAGACTTTATTTAATGATTTTTAATTTTCATTCTTTCAGAGTGTACTGACAGTAGTTTGCTAGAGAAAAAACTACCGAAGCAAATGGTAGCTAAAGTAGTGATTATAATAATAGATGCATGGCAAGAACGGTTTTTTTTCCATCAGAAATCAATGCAGTTCTTGCATCAGTTAATAAGTAATGGTCAGGCAGTTGCGTTTTCAGCACGTGTCCAGTCGCCTACTGTGACAATGCCAAGGATTAAAGTAGAAACTAACCATCTCTTGCACATTAATTCTTGATTTCGAAATAAATAATTGTTACTAAAAATGAATAAGAAAGCTCTCGGTATTGTTATTCTTTTTTTTGCGTTTCAGGCAGCAACGACGGGTATGATTCCTTCGTTTGTTGATATTGTAAGGAATTTTGCATCAGATTCCATTTCAAGTGATAATATCATTGATCAACTAAAAAATAAAGGTTATAGGTAAAAAATAATTTGTTAAAGAGATAGAAAAAGTAAGTAGTTTTGTACTACATGTGACAGACTAAATTCTGCATTTCAAATTCGACCTTGTCAAAGATGGTTTTATTTTACCTCTAGTCTAGCTATTTTAAAGTTTCCAAAAATGATTCTAAAACAAGTATAAGGAACATGGGATTTGTCGTGTGTTTTTTTGCTGCTCCGCCAAAAATAAAAGTAAAGAATTAAGATGAGACCATATAGAAATAATAAGAAATGTGATGCCATTTTGAGTTCACCTTATTTGCATCTGACTGCGCAGTTTGTTCTATAGCAAATTGTTAGCCAATTTCAGATGTAGATTTTGTGGTGATGACACATGGTTACGATTATTTCCTAATCGCTTCGATAATCTTTCAGTGGGCGTAACTTCATTTTATGTCAGTGATTTTAAAGAAGTATGTTTGACATGGCAGCTTCATCATGATGATTTCAGTGTTAAAAAGAACAGCATTTATATAAAAGAGGCTTTGGAACACTTAATTAGCCGGGTTATGATATAAATGTTTGCAAACAACTACAGAGATTGTTATTTATTTACAGGTGGATGAGAATGTTACTGCTTGTATGCGTGCTAGTTTTGAAAATAATGCGTTTCGAAAATGGGATCTGGTGATTTTGCACTACTTGGGACTTGATCACATAGGTCAGTTTTGAAAAAAAACAGATAAAAACAGTTTAAAATTCAAAGCAAGATTATTGTTCAGTTATTTTATTCATTCTCAAGAGTTTGATTGAGAACTATATGAAATGTTTGGTAGTAATATTCTTTAATGAAATGTGCATGAATTTGTAGTTCCAGGGCATTCTCTGGGAGGTATGCATAAAGAAATCGATATTAAGCTCCATGAGATGGATGTTGTGATCCAAGAAATATACCTTAAGCTTCAGGAGGTATAGTGCACACCTGTTGGGTCACAGTAATTTGGTAGAATAATCTATTTTTTACAATTTGATAACTTATTAGAATCCGGGTCTCGGTAGATAAATTGGTATCAAACTAAATACCTCATGCTTTATTATTAGTGCAGTGATTAGAAAATAAGGACACGAATATGCCAAATTAAGCTTGTTATTTGATTGTGCAGTTTTTTTTGAAAAGTGTAGAATAGAATACAAGATTTTTACGGAATTTTTTCCCACAATTTTGTGTGCTAGACTTTTCAAGTTCGATCTTGGAAAAAATGGTTATAAGAATGAATAACTTCACAGTAGCATGTATAATATTCTGCAGACTTGTCACTCAAACTTTTCTGTGATTGTTTTTGGTGATCATGGGATGACGGAAAGTGGAAGTCATGGTGGTTCCTCAAAACTCGAAACTTACGTACCTGTTGTTTATATTGATGGAAAAAACCGATCTGCCGGCAACAAAGTACTCTCTGGTGCTTTTCTAAGTTTAATTTTTGTCAAACTGTTTTTTACATTTACAGCATTAATGCAACGCGCTTCTATAATGAAAGTGAAATACTCTGTATGAAAAATTAATAAAACCCTGAAAACAAATTTTTTAATTTTGATATTAGGTGATGTTCACATGAGATAAGCATTTTTTATTTTAAAGAAAATAGCATTCAAAGAAAACAAGATCGGTGAGTTTCTCATATGTAGTGAGTGTATTTTAGATATCAGCTATTTTGCTCTCGTTTTGTAATTAAATATACACTGTGTAGAAGTCCAGTTAAGAAAAATATACTTATACTAAGTAATTGAATAACTTTTCTTTCAAATCTGATATGGCTCAATGTTGCTTCTGTTATAAATTATTCTCATATGTTGGTTTATATTATAAAATGAAATATTCTCTGGTATAATATAGGCAGATTTTAGTACCATCAATTGAGCAAATCGATATTGTCCCAACACTGGCAACTTTATTTAATGTACCTATTCCAAAAAAAAATCTTGGTATTACATTTTTACCCTATCTAGCAACTGATAACTCAGATCCTTTTGTGCTTCTTTCTTTATTGCGCAACTGTGAACAATTTCAAATGCTTGGCACAATATCAGGTAAAACAGTATGTTTTCGTGATTAACGAATTGTGCAACATTTTCGCTTTGACCTTTACTTTGAATTTTGGTAACCACAACCTTATCGCATGATATTTTAAAAGTGCTGATTATTTCTGACGTATCAATGTACTGAAAACAAAGGGCAGAAAGTGGTAAAATTTTTGTTTCTGTTTTTTATCTGTAAACACAAATAAGTTCCCCCATCTTTTTTAGCATTAAGAAAAAGAATCGTGATGTAAATTACATTAATACTTTTTCGTAGATAAACTTCATGATTATATCAGTGATTTATCTTCCGTTTTGCGCGAATATTGTGCAAGGAATACCGTAACGAATTGTAGCAGATTGGTTCGAAATTGTATGCAAAAATTACGAGAAATTCAATCCAAACTCATACGTGATGGAACAGGTTTTAACACCAAATTAACAGTGGTTGCTGTTGGTCTTTCATTCATTGTATGTTACTTGAAACACTTAATAAGTTCGCTTTTCTTAAATGTCATTTTCAGCTTCAATATTTTTTTTTCAAATTTAGAATTTAAATAGCAGTAAAAATTTCAGTTTTAGGACCTATTTAACAACCATTTTACTGAAAATTCACTTTCATCATTTTCTTCATTATCACGAACAATCATTTCTTATCTTTTTTTTGTTTGAATACATTTATCATTTTTCTAAAACATCAGCCTGATAAATATTCGTGGCGGAAGATCGAGTGAGCTTTAATGTGTAAAATAGTTTGCTATAAAGCATTTATTACAAATTCTAAGTCAGATGGCGTGAGGTGGTTGTGACAGTACTGAAATGTGTAGGTGCTTGTGACAATACTGAAAGTACTAGAGAAAGATATTGGGATTTGAAACTTACATACTTGATATGTCTAAATGCACTCGAAATTCTAGTTTTCTTATAGATTATTTTCATGTATTATAATAATTTTTCTATTAAATATTCATTGCAACATCTTTGCAGTTGTCTTTTATCTCTCTTGGCTTGGCATATTTCGCTTATCCACATGTCATTATTCATGGCAAGTTTGTTTTGCATCTAGAAATCATTTCACTAAATTATTTAATATTTTTTCAGCTCATTGTCTTTTTCTAAATCACTGTACTAAATCTTTAAGATTTAATAAATTATGCCACTAACTTTCGATGTGGCTACCGCCAAAATTATGTGCCAGTTCAGTTTTGTTTCATGCTAGATTTGCAGCTTATGGAAGTCAAAGTGCTATCAATCTCGCTATTTTTATGCAGTTCTTACTGTTTGCTGAATTTTTCGCTTCTAGTTTGATAGAAGAAGAACATGATCTCCAGTAAGTTTTTATTGACAACATCTGGCGTACATTTGAAAAATATATTGTTTATCTAATTTTTATAAGCTTTTTCAACTTAATTGTATTAATGTATATACGGGTTAATGATTTTGGTGTAAAGTTTACTTCTTCATGAACGAAAATTTGTATATAAAATTCTGAAGCATTATCTCAATGTATTTTCTTAAAAAAATTTTGCATTGTTTCAGTTTATTCAAAAATTAAACTTTTAAGATACTTCTTTTTCGTCTCATTACTTTTCCTGATGCTTTTCGAAGAGTTTCATGCATGGATGAATAATCATAGTAAAAGGTAAGCTTTTTCAAAAAATATTTCACGGCAATATTTTTAAGAATTATTCAAAAAAACTTTTCGAATCGAAAGTTCGCAGAAATCAATTTATGTGACAAATAGAAGGGCAAGTCTATTTAGGCTTTTATGAGTCATTGAAATTTTATTTCAACTCATGTTTCAAATTTTAGGGTTTCTCGCAAACGAAAAGCATGCCATAAAATTTTGACGTTGTTGTGTATAATTTTCATTCACCGTTTCTGTCGAGGCTACGTTGAATCAAGCAGGCGACGTTGGGTAATGGAAGAGGACATCCTTCCTAGTAACGGAAGTAAATAGTTCTGTACATATCTGAAAAAAAAGCAACATATATTTTTGCATTAGAACCAGAACCATTTATAGTAATTCCATACATTGAACGATAACAGTATTTGTAATAAATCCATGTTAGTCATATATTAAGATCTTGTATTTTTAAGTATTTCAAATAACTGCTGATAATCTTTCAGCTGGTTGGATTAGTTATTATGAGATATTAACAAGTATCGGTAGTTTTAATAATGTACCAGATCCTTCTAATTTGCTGTAAGTTTTTGGGGTTATTTGGACTAATGTAGGATTGTATTTTCGCTTAATTATAAATAATTTGTTATGTGATTCTTTAGATTATTTTAATGTTTTAAAGATCATGTTTGGTCACTTACAGGAAAAAATGGGACACACTCCGTTTCATCTTTTGCCTCTCTTCACTGATTACAATCTCTAGTGGATTAATGTTACTCTATCATGAGAAAAAGGCTTCTTTTCTAATATCATTCATGCTTTTTGCAGCATTTTTGAGACATTACTGTGAATGGGGGTAAGTTCCATACTATTGTCAGTTTTAATTTATAGCTTTTTTTGTTGACTGACTAAGATAACAGAAAGTACTCATTCCGTATCAAATTGTTTGCTGTTGCAATGAAAGAAGCATTTGCTACCGAATATCGTTCCGAACGTTATTCAGATATAAAAATTATTTGTGATTGTTACCCATAAATATGATAGTGAAAATAGCGATTCCGTATTGCTGAAGTCGAGCAATATAGAAATTAAACGTTACGGTAACTGTATTTTGAATTATAAAAACTGAATACCATAAGAACTTTGCTGTAACTTCAATGACTAGAATTTGGTAAAAAGCACTTAAAGTCATCTTAACACGTAATATTTTTCTTTTCAGTAAAACTCTTGTTTTTGCAAAAATAGATTTATTTTGTCTTTTTACAGGATTACTTTTTTGTTGGCATTTTTTGGCAATATATTTTTATTGCTTAAATTGAGAAATTGCTTTTTGTGCATGGTGCTGTGGGTGATTTTTATTATGCGAGCACACAACCTGCCTCTTGCTATCTTAAACTTGGTTCTGGGATATTGCTTAACATCAGTTGATGCATCACCACTTCTGGTCATTCGTGCTGTATATTCATCGTTTTTTTATTTGGTAAGCGAAATTCCTGGAATGAAAGCAGCTGTTAAACATATTTTATTGGGAAATCGCATTTCACTTAAACCACTACATTATTATTATATTGAAAAGATAAAATAACATATCATCAGTACATTTGCAGTATTAATGAATTTAGCTTTCGAGATTCCCAGTGTCATTTTATATTTACTCAACATGACTTTTTGACTCTTCTATATTATTGACAATGACTTACTTGATGCTTCTTGAGTTATATTCCGAATTCAGCATGACTAAGACCTTCTGATGTTCTTTGACTATAGTCACTGGGATATCGTGCATAAGATTTACTCGTATAATACTTCTTCGGAATACCTTTTTCAGTCAAATATTGTTCGAATTTATTATGTAAGACCAAATGACGAAAACTTACAGACCACTGTACTTTTTATACAATTATTACTTTTATAGGGTAACTCGAATAGTTTCTCTACAATCGATATTGCAGTAGGATTTGCTGGCGTCAAAACTTATCAGCCAGTAATTATTGCTCTTCAGATTATGCTCAATACCTATTCCGGACCTTTGCTCATTATTTTTGGTTGGTGGCAGTCATTTGTTGGACAGTCATCGAAATTGTTATCGCAAAAACTACAGACTGCCCTTCTCTGCTATATGTCCTTTGTGGTACACTTCAATATTTCGTTTTGTATGTTATCACTTTGTATTCAACGCTATCATTTGTTTATTTGGTCTACCTTTGCACCAAAATTTTTATATGAATTTGCTCATCTTATAACATTAACTCTAGTTACCTTATCTCTATTAACTGTTCATAAATTTTCGATAAATTAACTTATTTAATAGTATACTTTCATTATGAAGGCAATAAAGTATGTAGCACTAAGAGAATATTAAAGGACCCCCAAACTTTCAAATATTTAGGAAAATGAGTAAACCTCGATCGCATATGAATGCATATTTCACCTAATCATATTAACAATTCTGTTTGACTGAGCAGGATAAACCTACCAAAAAAGTAAATTATATTATATGCAAGTACTTTGAACCACAAGATTTGAGTACTGAAAAAATGAAGTAAATTTCGATGCAATGTGGACAGCATATTATATTTTATGTATTGTTAAATATGTTTCGTTCGCCTCCGTATGATCTATTGAATGCTTTAAAATATACATAACATTGCATAGTGTTCAGCATGTTTCCTTCTTATATTATAGAACTAGTCGAACGAAATTAAGGCAATATTAATCGAGCAGTTGGTTGGAAAATAGTGGATATTTTCACAGTATTCCTTAAGCACATTTACTGAGCAAGCATTTCTGGTGAGTGGGTTTGTTATCATGATGACTTCTGGACATTTCGCAAAGTCCACAAACCGCAAAGAAGAAATCTTCATAACGATCTATTGCTTTTCAAAAAGAATAGTATTTACAGCAGTATCGCCTTCTCGTTCCATCTTCAGACATGTTAGTGGTGTGATTGGTCACATTTGCCCCTTTTTTCATTCTCAACTCTGTATCACACCAAGTAATGATGGTACTAGTCAGAAATAACAGTACCAGTCATAAAATAATAAGCTTCCTATTGTCTGGTTATTATTCTTCTAACTATTATCGAATTACAACTCAAATCACAATAAGCCAAACAGCAAATCTGTGCATCTTTTCAGTGAACCTAAAAGTGGGATGAAGAGAGTTGGCATAAATTAAAGTCGTTTATGCTAATTAAATATACAAAACTGGAACTATAGTCAGACAGATAGAATCAATGTTGAACTACTCCAATTTCAGTACCGAAATTTGGTACGCAGCTTTTGTAGATAAGTAGTGCAATATTCAAATAATAGGATCAAAATATGTTTTCGAGGAAGACTATAAATAGTTAAATTGTATTTACAAGTGTAGAGTGATACATAAAAGTACTGCATAGAATGTGTGACATATTGTGTTCACTTGACAAAAATTATTCACTTTTTTCATGTCAGGTTTGTCACCCCTGACCTCGTTTGGAAGTTTTTTGAGTACAATCTGTTAACAGCCATACTAGACGACTTGCGCCACTCCTAACATATTGTGCCTTTGACAAATCCAACTATAACAGAATCAGATTTTCAATAAGTAAACACAGAGATTATCTTAAAGTAATTTTATTCGCAAACAGTAAGTACAAATGCGAAAGACAACACCGTAAAACATAACAATATTCCAAACAACAAATAAACAATTTATAAACATTAACGACAATAATATATGCTTTATAAACATGCATCTGAAAACAGCGTACAAAAAATTACAAAATCCAAGATTTTAAAATCAGTAAATCTAGAAAAATACTTCACCTTTACAATATATTTTGTACAATTTTCGTAGAAAATAATACATTATTACTACAACATGGATGGGGGGTAAAATTCATGAGACCATGTAACCTTAAATCGAATAAATATTTATAATATTGCTAACAGACAAATAAATCTACATTTTTCATGACCACAAATGAAATAAACCAACAAATAAAACAATTCAATCATGAATGCTTGCTTCAATCCCTTACTCAACAAATTCCAACTCTTGTTTTGCAGCAGTTCGACCAAACAAGTCTGCTTTACTAGTTGCAGGGCACGTTTCCCACAACACATGTCCACTGCAGCAATTAATTGCTCATAAGTTGACCGATCGCCACTGTTACGTAATGATGGCACTTTTGACAAAAGCCTAAAAGCACTTTAAAACATTCTGGTAATGTAAAAGCTATTATGAACTAAAAATAAAAAAGTTTGTGATGAATTAAAAGGCAAACGACACTTATCTTAGAATGCTCAACGTCTCATTGGAGCACAATTTACATGCAAAAATATAATAAACAAGTCATGATGTCCAATTACTTAAGTAAAAATTGGTTTGGATAAATTATCAAAAAACTTACAGATGCTGGTTAAGGCATCGCTCATCCGTACAATATTGTACAGATTTACCAAAGATAGGAAGAGCTGCTTGCAAAATTCCGTCCGCAGCTCTTGTGTGTCTGCAATCAGAAAGAGGCTTAGCGTATTCTAACGCTTTTAACTGCCTCATATACTTCGTCCCAGCAGACTAGCTGGGATTGTCCTTTATGTAGGAAAGCTGAAATTAATTTCACCAATTTATACTATAATTTCTAGAAATAACTTTTCAATTCTATAAAGAAAAGAGACATTGATAAACAAAAAGACTTGATAAATACTTACTAAAACATTTCTTTGACGGCCTGAGATTCTCGTTCCTCAACCTCAACC